ACATGACAATTCTAAAATATTCAAAGTACCAAGATCAATTTTCTTTCACTGATAATATTTAATAATTTTACATATACGTACTCCCAAAAAAGCAATCTTGGCATACAAATATCTGAAATTAATGTTCATTTTTAGTGCTACATTATACAAAACAAAACTGGCAGAGAAGTTGATTATCTTTATTTATTGCAGATGTAAGAATTTTAATAGTTCCCGGACATGTTAGGTCAGAATTTATGGTTGCTTAGGTCCTGCAATGTCTATGAGTTAAAGATTTTATTTGCCAATGAAGCAATGTAACACTACCTAATTGGTGATACCGCCTAACCAAGCTTAAGCATACACCTTATACTTAATCTCAAGGCAGCTTACATGGAAACGTATATAAAAAATATCTTCAAGAAATAGCTGTAAAAAACTGAACAATGCAACTTGGATACAAAATTACACAGTACTAATCGAACAGAGCATTAATTTTTCATTGTTTAAAAAATGCCTGCGACTATATTTTGAGTGAGCGCATACTAATCCTGCAGTGGTGGCATATTGATCTCTGCAAGATGGAAGATATTGATTAAACATTAGCTTAAACGGGGTCATAGAGATGACGATTTGAAATTTATAGATTATTACTGGTAACTATGGAAACGACCAGCTGTTGCAGGCAGTGAATCGAACATGTGAATTTGATTGGTTGAACATCTGGAGAAATCTCTGTGAACAGCTGATACTGGCCAGGGCAAGCAACAAGTGTGCTCTGAGTATATGTAGGCTTATAGTATGTAAACACCAAAACATAATATAGTAGCCTAGACAGGTTGAGTATATGTTATATTTATAAAACATACTATAGTACTAGTACCCTGGACAATTTGGATGTCACAAAATATTCTGTAGTACCCTAGATTAGTTATATGTCACAAAACATATTGTAGTACCCTGGACAATTTGGATGTCACAAAACAAACTGTAGTACCTAGATAAGTCAGATGTCACAAAACATTGTAATACCCTGGACAATTTGGATGTCAAAAACATGCTGTAATACCCTGGATAACTTGGATGTCACAAAACATACTGTAGTACCCTAGATAAGTCAGATATGTCACAAAACATACTGTAGTACCCTGGACAAAAGATATATACTTAGTACCCTGGACAGTTGAATCATGTGAAATAGTAAAATATGACCCCAAAGAAGATATTTGAACTCAAATTGTACAAGGAAGGAATGCAATCAAGATATTAAAACAAAAAAATCGGAAGACATTTCAAGAAAATACTTCTCCCTTTCAAGTTGTGGAACTGTAATACAGTGCAGTTCCTCCTACCCTTGATGCTTCTGACCATGAACTTCAGCTACTATAAATACCATGTAATAATTCCCTATGAAAGAAAGCACTATGTAAATAGAATCTTCAAAGCAACACAAACAATGTGATGATCTATGCTCCATTTCTATGTTATTTCAAGCTTAATGGGGTTAGAAGAAATCTGTGATAATTAGCAGTAATTAGCCATATATCCATCCAACAAGGATTCCTCCACGGATGATGTAAGGATAATACTCTATTCCAACTCCTGAAAGGACCACCCATCTCCAGATTAATGTTTCAATTTCTAAGATAATTTCTTCTATTTTTCTCATAACATGAATGTACATATATATCCAGATTACACTTATTAAGGAAAATACAACAAATAAAAATATTTGAACTGAACACTAAAATTGAAAGAACAAAGAAAGCTATCAAAAAAGGTCTAGCTGAGAAATGTTTTTCGAGACAAGCTGAATGGCTGAATAAGTCTTATCCTGATATGTCCCATTTGTAATTCTTTTAGCTTTAGGATGGGAGAGATAAGGCAGCATTGTTATCATATTTGGCATTTCCTCTGAATCTCATTATGGCCAATATATCATAGTGTTATCACCTAGAGGTCAACAGGTCATTGGATATACAAATCTAAGCCTATCTGTCAAGTTAGTCCAAATACACTTATGATAAACTACAAGACTCTAGTGACCACTACACCACAATGGTAAAGCAATTTGTCAAAAGAAATATACAACTGAATTAGTCACATATAGTTTTTCAATAACTTAAACCTTTCAATCTGTGAACAGTTCAATGTATGGTAGATATATGGGCATCATTTCATCCCAAGTACTCATACTTCAACCTCTATCAAACCAGTAGGTAACCCCCTCCCTCTAAACGTACAATCCTAAACAAGAAAGAATAGTAAATAGCAAAGAGACGCTATATAACATGAAATCCTCCCCCAAGTACAATATACATAATAATAGCATGCCGGACTAGCATATCATATCCTTTAAGATAAACTCTTAACCTTGATTTCTTAATTAATACACACCTACTTATGATATGACATTATGTCACTGCATTAGGCTTAATTTGGTAGTGACATAAATACAGCCCAATCTATACATGACACAATACATTACTCTAAACACCCAAATTGCAAAAAGGAATGCACAAATGGAAATCTTGGAATTATTAACTTTTGCCCACAGATTTTCAAAATAATATTATATGATAATAACACGTAGCACGAATAGCTGATACTGCTGTCAAGGGTCAATCCAATCTATCAAAATATCATGTTGAAGACCATCTTATCAGCCTATACACAATAAAAAACAACTCAACAACTCAATACTAAGAACTAGATTGAAGTAATGTATTTCAAATATGGTGATTCAATATGAAGTATCTTTAGGTTAGTATATAGCTCACATACAGGTATATCGTTAACTCTCACAGATTCCATTTTTTAATAAAAATGACATTTTATGTTATTCACAAAGCAACCAGATATCACGATGGGATATTTGCATGATGAATAGAATGAGATAGATGTTTTTAATAAGGGCAAACACTTTTGTGTTTGAGCATTAGGAAACCAACAAATAGCTATATAGGTCAAAGAGATACAATATATCACAGCAAAAGTTCATAGCGCAAACATGCAGTAAGATTTTTCATGTGAAGGTAACGTCAGAGTTTCACCTCGATTATAATCAAGCAGTGGCTAATATGATAATCGGAAAGTCAGGGTATATGAGATGAGGTCATATATTTAATATATCATCCTCTCAATAATTGCTTTACATCAACTTATGACAATGTGTGTGACAATAAATTCAAACGAATATACTTCTGTAAAACAAACAATAATGGAACTAATCCACTAACTTCTGACTTATGGGCCCGAAACATGTAAAATTATACATCACATTAAGAAGTTCCATATTTGTGGTTGTTGATCCAGGTATTGTTTGTTATATTACATAAGCAACCCTCTGACATCACACAATCCTTGGAGACCCCTTACAGATTATCATTAGATTAACAGTCTAATCCATACCAAATCCATATGAATTCTTTTTAAAAAGGGTTTTAACTGCAAAATAGGGCAGATGGCTGAAACAGTTAAGCCAGCAGGTAGTCTCAAGAATTATCTTGCAAATCTCAACTAAGACATTGTAGATACTAATCACACTGAGGAAACCAAAAATTATCAGAATTAGAAAACATAATAATTAATGTGGCTTCCCAAAGTGGATTAATTAAGCTGAGTATGCTTAATGAATTTGCAAAAATTAAGTGATGGATTGTTTTTTCACTTTTAGTTTAATTATATTTTACAACAATAAAATTGATCTCATTAGCTTTAAAACGATATTTTCATAATTTTTTTAGACAATGTGCATTAAGAGCTTCACGACATGCAACACAAACTATAATGTCAAAACAGACAGCAACTATTATATTATACTGATTAGGTTAACAAGATGTATGTCTGACAGCCCTATGTTTCTGAAAGGAAGGTAAAATGACAAAGACTTTATCAGATAGCAAGAAACAATAGCAGGATACATTAAAACACACGGTCCTATTACATATCTGTTTTCACATAGTCCCCATGGTTTTGAATCATCTCATATTGCTTTCAATTTTGCTTGTGCACAAAGAAAGAACACCAAATTATATAATATGCAATATTTGAAACTGGATAAATCAAAAAATCATTGCCATAAATTGAGGTGTGTGGGTATATTGTGTAAAAACATTGGGAAATGACAAACATTCATATTATGATCATAAAAGCAGAACAATGGGGTCATATTACATGTTCAGATACAAAAGCAGAGTCCCATACCTTGGGATCAAACAGAACCATTGATAGAGAATACGCTGGATTTGTGGTATGAAATGTTAGCATACCTTAATGTAATCAAACAAGTTACCTGCAGTAGCTAAGATTTATTCATCAATACTACCATAAAAAAGCTAAATTTGAGATCATTGTGATCAGCATTACCAACTCAAGAATATGGCTTGCCAATAGGGATTCAGGATATGGGGAATGACTGAGGTCAATGAATAGAGGTAAAGTTCATAGGAACTCTTTGAGGAGTTGAAGTGGCTACATCAAATTCAGATCACACACTTCAGCCATTGGTACAGCAATGTCAATACATGCAGTGACACTTCTCAAGTAATTACTTGAACATCATACAAACTCAGGTGAATATAGCTTCATATGGTCACAGAACATTACATCCCATGAGCCTCCTTGAATGTCACATGCCAACAGTTTTGACCAATCATAAATCAGTTGAGCTAACAATAATACCGAAACATTTGGAAAGCACTTGATAGAGCACATGGTTTGTGATTTGTCAAAAGATGGTTTTAGGGGAAATGATACTTTTGGGAGATGTTGACTGCACAAGCAGTATAGGGCAGTGGATATGTAATGGTGAATGAATTGATGAATTCCGCCCAAGGTGACCAATTTTCATGTCCTAGCATAATTCAGTCATAGAAATATCACCCAAGTTGCAGATTTGCCAAACAGAACAAAAACAGAGCCAAACAACCATTGACAAGTATAGCTATACATATATCTCCCAAAGGTGCTGATAATTGTTCACTGACCAACAATCTGTCCTATGTTTCCACAGTCGTAGAATGACATATATTCATTAGATTTAAAACATAATATTAGCAAATTGCATTAGTCAGATTACAAGACAATACCACCAAGTTAAATCATACGTGTCATATTTTTTTAATATCTTGACTAGAATGGTCTGGGGATTTATCAAACTTGAGTGTTCCAACGTCACCTATGTGTCAACTTGTTACCTAGTATGAGCATTAAATAGTCAAACATATATTAACTTTCTACCCAAGCTAGTTATATACGTATACCTAATGGAATATCAGACCCAATCAAATGATTCCATAAACATTGGAAACAGATTTGGATGTTGTCTCCATATCTCAGATGAAAGAGATTCCCGAAGAGAATCTTAAGCACTGTTGTACTGTTGATTTTCTGTTCATATGTCATCATATGTTACATACCTGTATTTGGTGAAGGAGCTGACATATTCATGTTTGCATGTTGCGCCTGCTGCTGTTGCGTGTTTGTTGACATTATTTGCTGTTGAGGGTGGGGAGGAGGGGGTGGCATTTGCTGCTGTTGTTGCTGCTGCTGCAGATGTTGTTGTTGCTTCAGATGTTGCTGTTGTTGCTGCAGATGTTGTTGTATGTTAGGGGGTGGTGCCATGCTTTGATGAGACCCTTGATGTATGTTACCCTGATGGGACTGCCCCACCTGTACATGTGATTCCTGGGGTATCATACCCTGTATAGTTGAGGACTGGGGCATCATGCCCTGTGTAGATAAGGACTGGGACATCATGTCATGTGTAGATGAGGACTGGGACATCATGACCTGCATTGGTTGCCTAGTCATGCCCTGGTTTGGTGGCTGAGTTACCATACCCTGAGTTGGTTGTCTTATCATGCCCTGGTTTGGTTGATGTGCTACCATGCCTTCATTTGGTTGTTGTGCTACCATGGCCTGGTTTTGTTGTAATTGATTCTGTTGTTGAGCTGTGTTATATGGTGGGCACACCTGGTTATATGTTGGTGGCAAAGTAGCCGCAATATTGGCCCTTTGCATAGTTGGACTCTGAGCTGGAGAGTGCATAGGGCTTTGAGCTGGTGAGGGCATTTGTACTTGCATAGGGCTTTGAGATGGTGAGGGCATTTGGGCCTGTATAAGACCTTGAGCATTCATTGCTTTTGGACCTTGCATGGGTATTTGCGGAGAGGGCATCGATGATGGGGCCATGTTGCCATGCATTGGGGCAGGGGACCTCATTGATGGTGGGGGCATTTGCACCTGCTGGGGGGAGGGACTTGGTAGTCCCTGTGGTGACATCTGAGGTGACAATGACGATACACTCTGTGGTGACGGAACATGGTAAGGCCTAACATTATGATGACGCTGGTTGACAACTGGTGACACAGGACCCCAGTTGTTGTCTAATTGATTGCTATTCACTGCCCTCCTTGGATTGCTCTCAGACTGTGCTAACAATGGATTTGCACTTTTATTGTATCCACCTGGCCGAGCCTGCATAAACCTCTGGGGTGGTGCCTGGCAGGGGATAATCTGTGAGCCAGGAATGATTTGAGACCTAGGAATAATGTTCTCATAAGCTCGCACCCCCTCCTGAGGTTGTGGCTGAGACTGACCTGGTCCACATTGATTCATACTAGCACTGTTATATCCTGGTGGTTGGTTCCCTTGACTCATCTTTCTTGTTAATTCCTACTTTCTCTGGTAAATGCTTTCTTGTCCCCTGGTTATCTAAGTGAATATATTACATCCACCGTTTGCTGGATTATCTTGTATAATTCGATTGTAACATTCAGGTTTACATAACTAATACATGTGTAGTATAGATTATAAACAGTTTCCAACTGATCAGCAATATGTAAAATGATAATCCTAATTTGTATGGTTCTATTAGATTAAGCAGCCATAAAATGTCTGTTCAGAAATCCTTCCTAACTCTTCCTGTTAAACTTGCCGTTTCCATGTGCAGGTTTTTGTATCAACTATTCATTTGAAAATCATATCACATGTGCGAACCATACCAAACTCAAACCACAGCACTTCCCTTGGTGTAACCTAGTAAACTATGATCCCAGTCAAAATTATCGTCCATAAAATTCCACTTTTCAAAAAGGGTATCCGAGCAGAAAATTTTATGAATATAGCACTGTTTATTTCAACACCTTTGGTTTAAATGTCCCTTGATTTCCATCCTCATTTGTTAGTATCACTTTCAGCTAAGATTGATACAATTTGGTGCTTTACTGGCTTCTTTCCTAAACGAGTGCTATCTTAACATTTTTCTGTGTCAATGATTTAAACTAAGACGTCATCAAATCCATAAAATCTTTACTAGTTCACATTTAAATAAACTTTGTGTATAAAGTGTTTGAAAGTTTAATATTCCAATACTATAAGCTTATACATTTACTTCTATTCAGCTTTATAAACCATCCAGGCTTGGGATTTCAAGTACATCTTAAGTTTATCCCTGCCTAGTGAGTTTATCAAAATTAGTCCAAATATCCATGTGTCGCAAAACTGTCATTTGTTGGAAAATCCGGAAACCTAGTACAGGTAAGCAGGTTTTTGAGTAACTGTGTACCTGTAATCAACAGGTAAGGATCAAACCTCAGATTTGTGAATACCTATACAGAAAGCCCTGTTCAGGTGTGCAGTTCTTTCAACTTTTAAAGGAGATTTTATTGTGTATGTCACACCTTGATGTTTGCATAGGCCGACATAAATGCTTGAAACACCAATAATCTTTGAACATGGTTACCCACTAAATGATAAGGCATACAGGGGTCAAAGGTTGCCACTGCAGGGCTTGAAGAAGGTCTTTCAGGACGCACAGAGGCCTTAGGTGTTTGAGTAATAAACTACCTGTCAATATGGTTCTGCCCTTTCCTTCAGGATTAATAACAAGACAGAATTAAACTCTACATTAATAAACAAAATATCATGGGACAAAAGAAGTAGCAAATCAATATGTTTTTCAAAACACTATTAAATGTTTCTTTTAAGAGGATAAATTGAATGAAATGTGATAAATATTTACATTCAAACCAAACAGGATTTTGAATTTTTTTAAATGTAAAACTTTGAAATATCATGCCACCTATATGAATGAACAAGAAGCAAATTATACAACATAGAGTCAGCCAGACATATAAACAAATAAAAAATATGACGTGAGCTTTAAAATAATATTTCACAAAAGTGATATACAACACCAGCAGAATATAAACAACAATAAATAATTATAAATAAACACACAGGAAACGAATATTGCTGCCCCAATATAAAACCTTCAGAAAATGTCAATCCTTTAGTGTTATTCCATGATATATTTAACTCATAATAAAAACTATTCCTTTATTGAAACTAATAGACAACATAGAAGAAATGATGATAGAGGTTGGTTGTCAACTCTAATAAATCATGTCTAAAAAATGCTGGTACTAAACTACTAGCATATAGGGGCATTGCTCATAAATGCTATTAATATTCAACTTCCTAATGAAACAATGCTCTTCATATGTATTTCAATAAGCTAATACCTAGAGAAAGGATTAATAATGGAAGCATTCTGGCTTTGACAACAACGTGATAAATAAATACCCCGAATCCCCCATCAGCTATATCAGTCCACCCGTGTAGCTCAGCGGTAGCGCAGGTACCTCTTACGCAATAGGTCCCGGATTCGATCCCCGGTTCAGGCAAGACTAAATTTCCTTGTTTGCGTGAAGTACTTCAGGGTGTTTGACTGAGTGGTCCGCAACTCGTACAAAAGGCTGTGGTGTGTACTTGTATGTCTATGTATAAGTGCACAAAAAAGAACACAGGGCTCCTTCAAGGAGGGGTTTCTGGGTCTATCTTCCATGTTAATTACGTAAATTACGACCGTATATACGGGACATACCCAAGAGGTATTGCTCACCTTCATTGGTGGTAAACAAAATACAATACAAAATATACTTATACATTTATCTACACTAAATACTCTCGGACTCCCAACAAATGATTTTATAGTTTTGATGAGGATTAGATCTTACTGACCTCAAATGGAGATATGTTGCCTTTTATGGGAGTTGGATTATTAAATGACTGTCAAATGAAAACATGACAGAAAGTTATATGTAGTAATTTTCTGGATTGGATATTGGCTAAATTAAAGAAATATTTTAAATTCAATGAGTGTTGTTGATGTCAAACTCTTATATATGTGAAGGGTAACAATTCATTATGACACTTTTATTCTTACTTTCAGTATGATTTTCATCCAGCATTTCGTACTGTGAAGTTCCATTATCCAAGATTCCTTATTATCTAATTCATATATATCAAGATATGTCCCTATTGTATTTGTAACAAGAGACTCTGAATACACTCATTATACCATGGGGGATTTTTTACAATTTTATTTGCTTTGCTAAGTGTTTATTATGTTCCAGTCAGGTGTTATTTGAATAGTGAAAGTATCAACTACAGGCTATTGACAACATTTTCACAAATCTTCAACAGAACTAGTAAATCTAACACTCCTAACTGGACAAACAAAATAGCAATAGTGGCCACAGAGTAAATACTCTCTTCAATGGCAAATATGAGAAATACTTGTAAAAGTAGAGTATACCTCAAAATATGTCCTTTAAGATATTAACCATTAACAAACTAATTCAAACATATCATTCCATTAGAAAACAACAACTGTTGAATTTAAAAGTCTTCAAAATAATTGAAAAAAATCCATTCAATAATTTTCTATATTTGCTGAAACAACACAATGGTAGATTATAGCCGAGTAAGGTACTGACATCCGTTGCTTATAATATCAAACAGTGTACACTTTTCATAATTGCAAAGTTTGGTTTTGTCGTTATAAAACTAGTATGAATAGACTTCTCTTACAAACCATTAAGAAAATACTGCTGCCTAGAAATCATATTAGAATGTTCCCTGACAAGATTCTCGAAGTTTATAGAAAATATTATTGCAAAGTCAGAGAAGCCACAGGTAGATATTGAATATATTTCAAAAAAGTTCTCCCTCAATTAAATGCCAGAATATTATAAAAAGGGAATAGTGTAAATGCCACAATGGCGTAATAACAGTCTCCATCTTCGCTATTTTCTCGTAGGTTAATTACAAATTTTTAACCCTTATTGATTTAGTATAATCCTTAATTGATTTTGCAATGTAAATTCAAAAGTCTATTTACATTTGGTTATTTTACATGATGACTCGAGCTAGTTTTATTTAAGAACGTGTCTCTATATCAATGAGTTTCTTTGTTTTAAATGTATTTGTGCACGCTATCCAACTTGAATGAATCGAGTATATTTTCTTCAAGAAAATAGAATTGTTAGTGATGAATTATATATGAATCTACCTGAGTAGTGAGTAATATGTGTTTATTGAGTCCCTGGTGTGAACCCCTCCCACACTATAGCTTTTCATCAACACCAACCCCCCCCCAACCCCTCTGTTTGAGTTGTATTAGCTCCAGTCAAGTATAAAACCATATTGATCTTGCCATCACTGCAAACTACAGTTTAATATGTACCGTATATGCATATTAGTATCCCAGACATCCACTATCAAGGACTTCAAGTTATTTTTACAAGGGAAAAAAGGTAAATAAGAGTAAATAATTTACAATATATTAACCCCAGTTGTTAGTCTATTATTAAATATCTAGAAGGCTAAATATTGTAATGATGAATGTCACTGCAGTAAAAACCCAGAAATGAAGAAGTCAATGTGAACTTGCAGACTTACAACACTATAAAACCTGTGAATGCTCAGGAAACAGCAAAAACATATGTAGTTCAGGATTTTCTGTCAGAATCCACCACATCTGGCACACAGATGTGCTGCTTTTTCCATCAGATTCCACTAGTTGAGGCTGCTGCACAGCTTGCCATGGTAACCCAAGATATACCCAGACAAGCAGAGAGCTAGGGAGAATGCACCTGGAGGTTTAGCCACATTCAGAAAACATCAATCAAGACTTTAACATATGTCTTGTTAAAAAGTATAATGCAGGATACCAAGTATGACATGATTCTGAGGAATAATTTAAAAGATGTGAAATTCTTGAAACTACGAAGAAAATGTCACAAGCATAATGTAGACTTAAAACAATGTACTAGTTTGTGTTTAGGAAATGGCATGAAAGCAAATTGGAACAAAATATCTATTTATGACTGAAATTGCAATATTAAAATATTCATCAATTTTAATTTAAAATCAGAAGAATTATGTAGCAAAGGCATAAATATTATAATAATAAAAAGACATGTACAGTAAAATTAAAGGTCAATAGACAGATACGCTAACAGACATGTCAAATCCCAAGTTTCTGATTACATGGCAATTTCTAATTTTGGTAATGGTACTACAATGCACTGGGTACCTTTCCAATGCCAATTTTCAAAAAATTAACTGTCTAAATCCTAGTGATGAAACTTCAACCGCTAATGAATTTTATTATCAGGTCTGAGGACGAGCAGTTTTCAGGAGCAGGGGGCAATGTAACAGCTGGTCAATGGATAAATGTCCATGTATATCAAATTAAGTATCATGTTATTAGCTACTACATGCATGATCTTATGTATTTAATATCTTTCCATTCTGATAATATACCAAAAATCATATTGATGATATATTTATGGGTCCATTTTAAAATAGGGATGGGTGGAGGTACAGTAGTTAATTTTATTATGTAAGGGAATTATTACTTTATATTCTGATATGAGATGCACCCTTGATACCCAGAACCTGGCAGATACTCTTAAAACCACTTTATTTCCTTTTAACACTTTTAACCACCTTATTTCCTTTTATACCTTTAACCACTTAAAACCACCTTTTACATTTTTGACCAACTTGTTTCAGATATGCAAGTACCAGACAAAATGCGGTTATTGTTCAATTTTGGGCCAAGAATATTTATATGGACAAACATTGCCTCTCCCCTTTTATAGCCCTTGGATCAGACTTTCCCCTCTTCTAAAGGCCGTAGTTAGATCCCCTTTCAATGGTCAGCCCTTCTCCCCTTCATATGTCTTATGATCAGCCCCTGACTAGCCAACACTGCTGGGTGGGAATACAATAGAACTTGTGTGGGGGTTTGAATCATAATGGTGTCAATGGAAATACATGGGGCTATATTACACGTTACAATTTATGATGAATGTCTCCCCTGAGCCAACTGTGGCTTTTACTGGCCATAATACCCAAACAGGGTCATCTTGCCCAGTCATATTGGATAATGGCCTACCCCAAATTAGTTTGAACTCATTCATTCTATGATCTATTATTCAAAGCTCATTGTTGGATCAAATGAAGAGATTATGAGAGATCTCAACCAAAGATTCTGTCAAAGAGAATAGTACTTTCCAGGAAATTCATAATTCAGAATTTAAAATATTTAAAAATAATTAATTCAAGTCATGATTTGCTAACTTGTTTATAAAAATAATGGGAAATTTTCTCAAGACAAAGAAATGGTCTAGATGACCTCAAAGCTAATTGATTTTTAGTGGCAACAGATTGTCTGAAAGTGATCATATAAGATGTAAATGATTCCTAAGTACTTCACCATACAAAGGAATATCAGAGGGGTCAAAAGTAGTTGCAACTTTCCTCATTGAAAAAGAAAATTGAAATAACCAAG